AATGTCAGTGGGCCTTTGAGTCTACGGTGCACTTGTGGTGGGATTGCCCGGCGTCAAGCCGCATCTGGCGGGTGGATCATCAAACAATGGGATTGTAGCTCGGGTTCCCCCTTTCAATGGACAATGCTAGGGGGGATACCTAACTACTTATCACCTCAAAGGACTGGGGATACGTGGCTCAGTCCATCCGTGCGGTGGGCTTCCATGTAATCTGGTCGAGCAGGAACAGCAGCGTTTTTTATGACAAAGAATGGTCCACCAAACAGATCAGATCGACTGTCACTACTCAGCTGAGACTCTCCGTTCAGGCAGACTGGAGAAGAAAGGTGAGGAAGTCACCTCACCCCTCATCAGGAATGACATGGTTCAGACAAATGTGGTGCCTCCATGGATCCCTGGCCACAATCACAGAAGGTAAGTTAGTTCTGGATCCCCGGTTATTTTCTGTTTAGTGGGAGGTACCTGGGCACAGAAGGTAAGTTAGTTCTGGATCCCCGGTTATTTTCTGTTTAGTTAAAGGGAGGTACCTGGGCACTCGGTTCACACAAGCCGCGGGAGGCTGGCAGAGGGAACAGTTAGCGGAGGGAGTGTTGGTCGTTACTCGGAGCTCCACTCCCCATCGTATTAGGTGGATGACTGTAGCTAGGATAGTTAGAATTTAGGAACCAGTAGTAGTAGTTTCGGTTGTAGTTCTAGGAGTCTTCAGTTAGTTTGCGCTTTGAACTGTGTGGTATTTGAGAGCTGTGATGGCATTGTGTTTTTTTGTATGGTGTATCTACGTATTTTTCGGTTTGTGTTCGGCGTTAGAAGCCTTGATGGCTTTTCCCTTTTTTCTTTCCCCCTTTTTTTTCCCAGGGTTGGGATGTTTCAGGGCAGCGGTCCGGTTTTGGCCATTCTGCTACTAGACCCCAGTGTCCAATGCCTGCACCCAAGCTGCGTAACGGTCCCAGTATTGATTTTTTCTGGGTTGCTTGTGGAGGGATTCCCGGCCTCCCCCTTCTTTGTTTCTGTTTATAAAAAAAAAATGTTCCATTCCGTGTTTTTGCCTTTTTTAACTTTCTGCCAGGCGGACGTGTGGCTTTGTTTCGGGGAGTTTATCGTTTTCAACAGACCGGCGCATCATTTCCTTCCAGGGGCTGCCGCACTCTCACATTTGAATACAAGTACATACCACAGCAGCAAGGGTGCGAAGAAGAGTTTGTTTTCTGATGTTGTTTTCTTGATTCTCTTTGGGGTCTCGACCTCCAGTCTTGCTATGAACAGTTGATAAGTGTACCGTTAAGTCGGGAAAAGAAAACATGTCACGTGGCCTCGGCTTTTTTTTGGTTTTCATGTTGTTGTTTTTGGTTTCTCCCTGCCCACGTAGGCATAGCCCACCTCACTTTCTGGCTGGACAACACCTGGAGGCTGCATGACTGCATGAGGGAAGCAGCCAGAGTCAGCCAGCCAGCTTACCGCAAGGACAAGGAAAAGAGTGCTACCATAGCCAACCTACGAACGGACCTAGTGTCGTTGGTACACCCAATGAACTGTTGAAATACAGGCCTGAGTTGGAATTCCGCACAAGTTACGCAGGGCCAGTCAGTTTGAAGACATATCTCAAGGCCATCACCTTTCCAAAAAAAAGCAAAGAAGCATCACCCACCTACCCTGCACTGTACTGGCCAGCCCGCATAGGGCCTCGCTCCACCGCTCATGAAATCACCTAGAACATGAAAAGATAAGCCGCCATAATTTCTGTCTTTTATGCATGTGGTGAGTGGTGGAGCGAGCCCCATAGTGGCATGTTTGGTTGTTTTCACCACCCTGCCCACTAAGCATCGCCCACCTACCCCGTGCTGCATAGAACATGAAAAGATATACGGCCATAATTGTTGTCCTTTGTGCATAGTACGGAGAGTGGTGGAGCAAGCCCCATAGTGCCATGTTTGGTTGTTTCCACCACCCAGACCACTAAGCATCACCCACCTACTCCGTGCTGTGCTGAACAGCCCACATACTGCCATCCAGTCAACATACTATGACCCGCCCCACATAGTACCGCCCGACCGATAAAGTATCGCCTGCACCAGATGTTGTATGAACCTGCACCAGATGTTATATGAACTCCTCCACATACTGCCACTCAACATGCTTAACATCACGCTGCCCACATAATACCACCGCCCAGTTCACAAGGTTTTTGTCTACCTGTGCTGTTTTTGTGTAAGGCCTGTTTTCTTTTTCGATTTGCTCGGCCGCATACATGACATAGAAGGAGGTCGGGTAGGAGGAGGAGGAAGCGTGACAGACACGAGGAGAAGGGTGTGGTGGGAGACGAGGGAGAGGGAACTGGGCAGGCAACGGGGAGGACGAACAGGATAAGTGGCACGGGAACAGGGTTGAGGACAAGGGGTAGCAGGTGTGTGCTGCGGCTAGCGTCTGCTTGTTTTCCTAAAGTGTAAGCCGGGTCTCGAGTGACGGGCCCAAGTGAGACCCGGATACCGCAGTGGGAAGCAGGGCGCTGTGTAGGGAATGATCATGCGTGCGGACCTTTGTTTCTTCCGGCTGGTCTTTTCGTCGTTTCTTTTGGCTGGTCTTTTTACCATTTCTTCGGGAATTGCCGTTTCTCTTGGTTGGTCTTTTTGTCGTTTTGGGCGGATGTGGATTGTGGATGGTAGGGTGCTCGAATAAATACATCGGTCTTTGTATCGTCTTTGGTGGATGTGCACTTGCTCAAATATAAGTGCACAGGGCCTTGCCGAACCACCGACCAAATGCAGAAAAGATAAAAACTATGTGAGCGTATACTTCCATGTTTTAGCCGAAGATTCATTCTCATTTTGCACATTTGGCGAGTGGTGCGGCGGGGCCCAGAGTAGGTCCGTTTTGATGGAAAGAACACACGTGACTGTTGGCAACCAGGTGCCGAGCTCGGATCCAGGTGGTTGGCTCACCTCGAAATGAAAAGAAAGATGTCAGAATTGCTTTTCTTACTTCTCTAGGCAGAAGTGGAGCTCAGGTCCCTCTACCCAGTTGATGTGTACCATTTAGCTACACGAGCTTGGCTACTTTTTTTTTTTGCGAAGGAAAAAGCTATATCCTTCACTCAATACATTTCCCACTACCTACCTATCTATGCTGGGAAAAAACAGAGCCAATGCCAGGAACCACCTAGGCCAAACAGAGTCGCCTAAGCCTACATCTATCCACTCTACTCTGTGCAGGGAGTAGAACCATAGCTCCTATCCCCCAGCGCGGGATGGCAGGAGCAAGGATGAAGCCTCCGAAAGCTCGGATTACAGGACGGCGTGACTCGTCCCAGCAAAACTCCAGCTCCAAAAAGCCAGCCAGGGGGGGCTAGCCACATAGTACTGTCCATCCCATATCCCACATAGTACCGCCGGGTTCACATCGTATGACCCATCCCCTGTGGTCCAACCCAAACTGCATGGTGTCACCCTGGCCACATAACGCCGCTCAGTTCACATAGTACCACCTGGGCGTGGGAAGGACCGAATTGTGCCTGATGTTGGCTATGTGTTCTCGTTCTTTCTTTCTCTCTTTCTCCGTGGCTGTGGCTGTGTTCGTTTTTTTTCCCTTTGTGGGAGTGTGTGTTAATACTATCAAGTCCACACCGAAGGTCCGGATTATGCCTGATGTTGGCTATGTGTTTTCTTGGCTGCGTTTTCTTTCTTTCGTTCATTTTTTTGTGGCCGTGTCTGTGTTCGTTTTTCTTTCCATGGAATGTGTGTTAATAATGTCCGTCTACACAGTACGGCCTGCCCCGCATGGTGCCACCCGGCCCAATGGTACCATGGAACGAACATAACATCACGCAGGCCTCCATCTTTTCTTTTTCTTTTTTTTTTCTTCAGGCCTCACTTCACTAATCTTTTTTTTATTTTATACTGTTCATGTGATAGTATCTGGATTCGGACTTGAGTTTGTACTTCAACATTTCATGGGTGAACCAACAGGGCCCTTGGTGCTACTCTCTTTTTTTTGCGGGCCCAGCCTCCCAACAGAGTGTAAGAGCACTCTACCAAGAGAACTCTCAACGAAATTACAGTGCCCAGTAAAGGATTAGGATATGATGAGAAGTCTAGTAAGCGCATGACAAGAAACGTGAAGTAATAAAAAGAGTGGACAGAAAGAAAGTGACCAACCGTCTCTCTCTCTCTCTCTCTCTCTCTCTCTCTCTCTCTCTCTCTCTCTCTCTCTCTCTCTCTCTCTCTCTCTCTCTCTTGGGAACACACATTACTCCTTTGACCAGGTACATTAGACAGTATTGCCGCTATTTGGTCATATGCGAACCGAAACAGGCAGGGCATACCGGCCTCCCGCCAAAATCAAGATCGTTTTTTTTCGGGCGGGTACATACGTTCATGTCACCTTTGAGTATCAAATGGGCAAAAAAAACACGCCTCGGAAATGAAAATGGCACCGAGTTCAAAAAGGCAACGGAAGTACCAACTGCCGTGGTGTCAGACTGGGTGTCATATTTACAGGGGTCGGCCGTGGTGTCAGAGGGGATTTTTTTTTTTCAAATCCCCAACGGATACTTTTGGACTGAAATCGCTCATTTCAAGTTGGTGCGTGGTTTCTCTGCTGGCGCAAGTTTTTCTTGCCTTCAGTATTTCTTTTTTTTTTTTCCAATTTAGAAAAAGGCATCTAAGTTAGGGAAACCGTGAAGCCATTAAATTATTGTAGAAGCTTCTTTGACCGGTAGAATAGAATCTGAGATCTAGTGAACCTATATGGACAGGTGTTCTAGTAGGTTGGACGGACTCGCTATGCACTAAATCTAAGCCACGGAATTTAGACCCCCGGACGCATACATTGGTCGGGCCCACAGAAAATCCTGCGTCCTGCTCTAACGTGTGCTCTGCTCTCACCTGTGTGCTCTCACCTGCGTGCTTTCACCTGCCTGCTCTCGCCTACCTGCTCTCACCTGCGCCCTGCTCTCACCTGCCCGCTGCTCTCATGTGCATCCTGCTGTCACGTGCTTGCGGTCTCACCTGAGTGGTTCCTCCTGTCGAGCGTCCACCCACGTGCCTTGCATGTTGTGCGTTCACGTGCTGAGTGCTGCGCTCACCTGCGTGCTTCGTCCTGCCGAGCATCCACCCACGTGGCTTTTTTGCTAACGTTCCTAGCACTTGGGCATCATGTGCTCCCACCTGTGTGCTCCCACCTGCGTGCTTTCACCTGCGTGGTCTCGCCTACCTGCTCTCACCTGCGTCCTGCTCTCACCTGCCCCCTGCTCTCATGTGCATCCTGCTCTCACGCGCTTGCTGGTCTCACCTGCGTGGTTCCTCCTGTCTAGCGTCCACCCACGTGCCTTGCATGTTGTGCGTTCACGTGCTGAGTGATGCACTCACCTGCGTGCTTCGTCCTGCCGAGCATCCACCCACGTGGCTTGTTTGTTAACGTTCCTAGCACTCCGGCTCTTTGGCAATCACTGCCGATATGTGCCAAGGATGGATTATACAGTGTGCCAAGGTTCTAGATTGACAGTCTAGGGGAGACGCAGGTTCATGATTCAGAATCATGTGACTAACATGCGAAACCGCTCCAATAATTTGGCATTTTCGCCCGTCCTAGTAGTCTGTGTAGTAGACTCTCAAATCGGTTGATCCTTGGACACAATCGGGTATTGGCAAGACTGGCAAGACTAATTTGTAAAATCATGTTGCCTAACAACATCAAGCTTCCAAACTGTTAAATTTTTGTATCCAAATGCTCGTCATTTCTGCTAACCTTCATCTGCTGCTTATATCCGTTCGGATAATGCACTAAATAGGAAATTCGAGGTGACCAATTTGGTTTGATGGCTGACCAATTGAAATTTCGTTTGTCCAAATCGGTTCGCAGCTATTCAAAATTAAATGGAATTCTCAAAAGCAGTGTTTCCAACAAGGTTCGAACTGTGGATTGATTGGTTCTCATGGCGGTTCGTGGTGCATGGGGGACGCCTGTCTCTTATACACATCTAGATGTGTATAAGAGACAGGTGTAAGAGCACTCTACCAAGAGAACTCTCAACGAAATTACAGTGCCCAGTAAAGGA